CTACGTGGACAAAGAACAGGGATGGATATAGCCCTGGACAAGGAGCTGGACGGAGGAAAAGTGCAACCATCCAGTACGAGCCATCTTTTCCAAGTCTAACATAGCACTGCCAACAGAAAAAGCTGAATTTTTCAGTTCCACTGTGTTACCGTTCCTGTTGCACGGAAGTGAAACATGGTTGCTGCTGTTCTACTATGGTACAAATTCAAGAAATTAGCTTGACGCTTTAGCATAGCTGTATTAGTGGTTCTATTTGCAGGGTTCGATGATCGCCGGCTACGATAAACGAGGTCCTGCAATTTTCAGGGTTGACAGTGAGGGGCAGCGTGTCCAGTTACGGCTCTGCAGTATTGGTTCTGGCTCGTTGAGGTGGGCTTTTCGCTGTTACCACACGCCTACTGATTTTTAGAAATTCGGATTTTGCCTTAAAAAAATTTGTTTTGCTGAAATTATTTGTAGCAATTTGGTCCTATTGTAGTGCCTATGGTATTCTGGACAATTTTTATGAACCGAAAATGACGGACGAGGAGGCGCAGAAGTTGGGAAGACGGGCAATAATGCATGCTACATACCGTGACACAGGTTCCGGCGGCGTCTGCAACTGTATGTTCCCTTCCTCTGAATTTGTCTGCCTGTTATTATTTGAAAAAAAGAAATCTCTTGGACCTGTACCTCTTCAGTGAGCCTATTCAAATCTGAGATCTATTGAACGAAGTTGCTGAAGGTTGAAGGTCCACTTGGTCACGCTGCTGGCAGTTGCGCCCCTCATATTTGTCTCGGTAACATCAGCGTAGAAATTCCAGATGTTCGTCCAGCCAGAGCCTAAGATTTCTTTTTTGCTTTTCGTTTTGTGGAATATCTCACAGTTTTGATATTTCCCCGGCCTGCTTCTGAATGCTTGACGTTTCAGTGGTGCACATCACGGCAAAAGAGAAGATCCGTTTTCCGCCGCTCGACGTCTCACAGCTTTACTACGAGTTCGCAGATGAACTGGGACGTGACATCACTTATGAACCCAATCTCGAAAGTTAAACTCTTTTTTTACTGTATGCTCTGTGACATATTTCGTTGACTGTTTGTGCTATAAACAAAACTGTATGGACGTTAGCACATTCTGCGGGAAATGCGATTAGCGGAATGTGCCGCCGTCTCTGAAACCGCTCCGTTTTAGGACCGGAGGGAAGAAAATCAATTTAGGTGCATGTGAGGATAGATATTTCACCATTAATGAAAAAAAAAAAGCTTAAGGATAGACATTTCAAGATCAGCAAAACTGGAATTAAAATCAAGAAGGGACA